GGCACCCGTAATAGGTAGGCATATATTTTATATGGATACGTATGGTATTTAATAAAATGAATATGACCTAGGTTGGGTGTGGTTATGCGGAGTTCCCTTCTTTTTCTATATACTGGTCTACGAGGAGCTCCGGAAGTTTATTATCCGTCGGTTCCCCAACTCATTCCTGGCCCACGAACTGCTCATTTAATTTAGCTTTTGATTAAAATGTTTTTATTCTGTTTGCTTGATCAGTTGTATTTCATTTAATTGTATTATTAATTTAATTATTTTATTTTTATGTTATACTTTTTAAGAAGTAATAATATTCAATATATTGTACCCCATTTATTTTGTAATTATCGATAATTTAAATAAACCTTACTGAATTAATGGCTCATCAAGTTATTTATAAACACTTTAGTGCCGAACTATTTTTTAAAATCAAATTGTTTATCATTGCTTATAAAGTTAGTTTTGTTAATGTTAAATTATTAGTTCTTTTTTACTGTGCTAATTGTCTTTTTAATTAATATCCATTAATATAAATATTATATTTAACTTAAATGCCAATTAAATGCACCGTAATTGTTATGATTATTAAACACTGAAAATATTTAATTCTTTATTTTCATGATATTGTTTAATTTAGGATATTTTAATGGTATTTTAAACTTCATAATAAAAATATAAATAAAATTTAAAAATATAAATTTTGTAAAAAAATAAATGAATACCTGTAAATATATCTAAAAATATAGATCTTTATTACTGGTATATTTAGTCATCTAACATCTTATTTTATTTAATACCAGACCTTTAATGTTTATTAATGTGCAGAACTACAGGTGCTATCAGTGCCGTATATACTGTATATATATTTCAATTTATGCAAATAACTAATGTTGTTGTTTTATTTTATTTCCTAATTTGTAAAATATTATTTCAATATTTATATTTTATTCTTCAAATAAACCATATAATTAAATAAAAATATTATCATTTCGCTTTCGATATACAGTATTGTAATTTATTATATTATTACAATTTTACTACAAATATATTACAAGTGAAAATAACAAAAGAACAAAAATAAGATAAATAATATTGCTACAAAACAATAACATAAGTATTATGATCAAAATCCAATTATTATTTATTAGTATCATTATTTTTTATTTGTAAGAATTTAGGCATCAATTAACACATTTCACATTTCATTATATTTATCTCAGATATGGTATGTTTATGGTACCTTAATTGTTTTGAGTATTGTTCAAGTATATTCTAGTGCAATACTGTATACGTACTGTACAGTATAATGTAATGATCTTATTATGATTACTTATTTTCTACTAAATTGTAAAACAATACTCTAATAATTGATCATCGGTTGGATTGGTAGGCATCACTTCAGGAAAGGTATGAAGTATACAGATTGTCTATTTTAAAAGTTATATGATTATAGAATTTTATTTTAGTTAGTAGTTAATATAATAACATACAAGTATATATCAATTCTATACAGTAATATTATATTATTAAAATGTTTTGATATTTTAAAACTAATACCATTATTATGAATGACATTGTTTTCGTAAAATATTGCACTAAATATTAGCGTTTAATACAGTAATATAATATGCACAATTATAATTTTCAATGGCAATGTTTATTATACAGCCCATTAAATTAACTGTTAATTATCATTATAAAAATTATCATAATAATTATTAGTTTAAAATGGCATTTTTAAAAATAATTCTTATAATCTGAAGATATTTTATTTTAAAATACAGTATTATATTAGACGATAAACTTTAAATAGTAACGAAACAATGATTCTTAAAAATAAATGCAATAATTGTTGTTATGTTTTACAAATAGCTTATTAGTATGATATAGTTTTATTAACTTTTAAAAAGAACTTTTATAATTACCTGTAACACGCTAAAGATATTTTCTGGAAATAATTATGAAACTAAATATTAAGTATAATATCTTTAGAATATTAGCTAATCGTAATGCAATACATATTAACATTTTATGTCAATCCATTAGGTTGTTTAATTAAGTTTTGAAATTTAATTGCTTATATAATGGCAAACCTAATTTACTTAATAATTATGATTTTATTCAAGTAATTAAGTGAGTTTAGTTTGAATAACGGTAATATTGTCTCATACTGATATATCAAGCTTACATTATATCTTACAATATCTATAGATTAACAAACAAATTCAACCCTACAATGGAATTAAGCAATGAATACGATTTAATCAAATTGAATACAGTACTACCTGGCTCATTGACCATTGCGAGGGCTGGTACTCATCTTTACAGCATTGGTCTCTCGCAGTATAAGCCCCCAAATGCCACAACACGTCCACTAATGTATAGCCCAATTGCAGTGACCGTTGGCTTATTAGTGTTGTTTATAAAGCAAATCGTATTGATATTACTTCCCGAACAGAGTCTCGAGTTTTACGCAATGGTTGGAGACGTCCCGTACTTTTCGGGCATAAGACTACAAAACTCTGTGGCGATGTTATGTGGTCTGACTATAGCCCTGTCCTCACAACTACTCACTTACTATAACCATCGGAATGACATAAAACCCACGTTTTTAACGGTATTCTCGATGCTATCGGGTTTGCAATCACCGGAAAACATTGGACTTCACGACAAACTACTTGTTTATAAATTAATTGCTTTCAGCCGTAGATTAATAACATTTGCAGACTTCATGGTTAAGATTGTAAATATAGTCATTCTTATTTTACCCTTTTCATTTTTCCTGATTAATATGACCAGTAAACAATTTATAATGTATGGTATACCACATCTCCTATTGTATGTCTGGGTATGCAATAATCTAAACAATATAATTGTCTGGCAATTAATATACTACGTTATTATCGCAAAGTATTTGGCACTACAATTGCAATCAATTAACCAGGACATCATTTTAAATATCGGTAATAAACGAGTAATGAATGTCAAGAATATAATTCGTAAGCTTAATAACGTTTGCCACACTATTCATGAATATAATGTCAATTATTGGTCCAAATTTCTGGCAATCTATTGCATCGTAATTGCAATCCTTATTATTGTTGCCCTTTATTTCACACTATATATGCATATGATATTGTTTATCAAATTAATAACCTTTATCATATATTTAGAGTTTATGCTAACTCTGCTCTTTATAATCCACTATTCGGCTATACTGTGCCACCAGGCTCAAGTAGTTTATAAAGTTTTAAATTTATATTTTGCTCATAGCTCGCACCGAAAGCCATATTATTTCAATATAATTATAAAACTAAAGGTATTTTTATTATTTTAAATTTTATGCAATAATTAAAGTTTATGCCACAAAATAGGTACTGGTGTTCATCGAAAGGATGGGTCAGAATAGGGTTGGCTTTTACTGTTGGCGAGTGTTTCTTATCACCCGTTTCCGTGGTTACGAAGTATGCATAAAGAATATATAATTTTAAAATTTTTAATTTTAACTTTTTTTTAACTAAATATAATATAATTTAATTGCAGATATTGACTATGATGGCGATATTATTCTTAAAAATTATCGAGATTTCAAAATAAATATTGATTTATATAAATATTTTAGGGGACGTATTATATAAATGATCCCTTATTTATCCAAACGCTTAATACCTTTTTATAAGCCTTTAACGGTTAAATAGTGACAACTAAAATATTACAAAACAACAAATATATAGTTCATAATTTATATATTTCATATAGATTATCAGTAGATAAAGTTATTTACATACAGAAATATCATTACTATTTTTACTATTTAATGGAAAAGTTTATTGTACAGTACATATATTTATAATTATCATAATAATTATAACTTTAAAATATCGTTTAAAAAAGGTTGTAATTTAAACTTAAACTTAAATTATTAGTTAAAAATATTATAGTAGATTGTAATATTAACAAAACAATGGATCTTGAAAATAAATGCATTAATTTTTGTAAATGATCTACAGCGCATTATGGTTTTGTTTTATTAACAGGTTAATTATATTTTATGGAAAAATTTATTTGCCTAATTATAAAGTAATATTTTGCAATATATATAATATAATGTTACATTATTAATGTATGTAATGATGTAATTATATGACTACATATCTTTAGAATATTATTCTAAGTCGTTCTGTAAATACATACAGTATTAAATACATATACAGATCAATCCATTAAATTGTTTAATTAAGTTTTGTTTTGTTTAATTATTTATTCTTAGTTTTAATACAACACACATTTTTTATACAAATCTCTTTCATTTTGATAAACAGGGTGTAAATCATGAAACATTCTCCGGCATATAATACAAAAAAAATTATCTTCGGATTTTATCCGACAACTTTTTTCATAATGACAAAATTGATATTTTAAAAACTAATTAAACAAGACCAGAACTCGGACCCGGACACTTTAGTATTCCCCAATTATTTTCAAACTAAAGGTTTGAAGTAATTGAGACCAAAATTCCTGGAGAATCCCGGATAAAAATATTTTTACTAAAATTAAGAAGCAAATAATAATTTTATAAATACTTATTCTCTACTAAATTGTGAAACAATACTATAATAATTGATCATTCGTTAAGGTGGCAGACATCACATCAGAAATGGTATGAAATATACATTTTTAAATATATAAGTATCTTATAGATTATGGAATAAGATCTTATAATAATAACTTATAATACGATTATAGAATTTTATTTTATTTTAAATATAAAACGTTAATGGTAGTTGTCATAAAAGTTATAAAATAATAATTATTATAATCTAAAGATATTATATTTTAAAATATTATATTCTTTTAATATTAACAATACTATGGTTCTTGAAAATAAATGCAATAATCTTTGCTAATGTTTTACAAATAGAGTATTATCATATCGTTTTATTAACTTATGACAAGCAACATTTATGATTATACTGTAATACGTTAATTATATTTTGGGAAACGGTATGTAATTAAATATAATAGAATTTATACTAATTTTGGAATATTCTAGTATT